CGAAAATCGAGCTAACTTCACAATGCCCTTATCAGCCATGGTAAGTGACGATTCTTATACAACACGGACTGTTTGAATATCAAACTTCATCCACGTGAAATATGTTAATTTGCTACTTTCCTCAGATGTTCAAATTCTCTGATGAATTGATGTTTATACCGTATTCGAGAGCGCCGGAGAACTCCCTTCCCCAACAAGGGGACCACAGCGGTCCGGCTGACAGGAGATCCATGAACTGGTTCATATTTTGGCCAAGGATATGTCGTAGATGTTATACGTGATTCAAATGAAAATAAAAGATGGCTGTTGTTGTTTATTACAAGTTTAATGTCCAAATAAAATCAGCATAGTCTCCCCCTGTTGGTTGTTCAGGACGGGGAATAAGTAAGCAAAGGTATCTAGTAGTATGCACGGGAGTATAACAACGAAATCCACGATGGGGGAGATGGCCGAATGGTTAGCAGACGCGCGCTGTATCATAAGGTCTGTCATTGACTCAACTGGTGTGGTTTCGGTTCCCCGGTTGTACGTGACAAAGTGAAGTGTCGCCTGTCCAGCTTCGTGGGTTTTCTCCGGGTCCTCCACCCCCCCCCCGCCCCATTCCTAAAGACCTCTACGCGCAAGCGAATTATTGAAATAAAATTGAACCATGTGTTAGTGCCGAAATGACCTAGTTTGTGTCGAGGGGACGTTAAACCCCATTTCTCTCCCACTTTGTTTCACTGCCGTTTCTTGTCGTTGTAAATGAAAAATAGACAGGCAGTATGTTTAAAGTACACAGTAAAACGTCACGAATGGTGGACAAGATGAAATATTTAATAACAATAACAAAGATATAACAAAATAAAACAACAATATAAAGTAGTAATTCATATACAATTATAAATAATTTACTATTTACAATAAACACTCCTGTATCCTTGGTGACTAACAAGTTTTACACCTGCAAACTGGGCGGATAACTCTGATAACTTTGATAGGGGGAAGTACTCATTCTGTAATTAACAGAAGTAGCCATTGCACGTGGTAATGCGGCCATTGCTTGGTAACCAAGTCCTTGTGTCATTGGGTTTGGGGTAAAGTGGTATTGTGGGTAACATAAAGGAGAACCAAATGGTAAAGTTGATGTTGTCATGGGAACATATCCAATATTATACTGGCAACTTATAGGTCGTTTACTCAAATTCATTTCTGCCATGGTATTTGTTCTGGCTCTTCTTCTGGCCTGACGACGACGAAAATCTCCACGTGAAAAATCTTCAATACAAGCTGGATGTATGGACCAATAATTGCCTTTACCATTATCAGCTCTTCCACTTTTAATAAAACATTCATTTAAAGATAAATTATGTCTAATACTGTTTCTCCACGCCTTCTCTTTGTTGTTATAATAAGGAAAATTATCCATGATATATTGATATATATCTCCTAGAAGAACTTTCTTCTCTGGTGAATTTAAAATGGACATCGATATCAAGGCGATGTACGAATGTGATGGCTTCTCTGAAGACGTGATTTGTGACGATGACAATGATGCTGATGACGATAAAGACTCTGGTGATGGTGGAGTCGACGATGATGATGAAGTCAATGATGATGATGAAGAGGATGACATCAATAATGATGATGGCGTTGAATAGTGACTAACGGTACTGTTGTAGTCATAAGAAACTTCTGGAAATATCTTGGTCATATTGCTTACTTGATTAGTTGGCCCACCATTGGTCTCGGTTGAATCCAAGTTTCTAGTGAGGAATTCAATACTAAAGTTATTCATATTGACTATTGAATATTGAACTAAGACAACTAAATAACTTCTATACAACGTCTCTAGAAATCTTGTAGTTTAATAAACGTCTCTTTTCTTCTCCATTTATATCTTACTGTTTCTGATTGGTTGACATCGTTCAAATGTGACTGACGTGTTCACTGTGTTGATTGGTTGATTAACTGTTGATAAACTGATTTGATTGGTCAATGAGACCAGTAGCCTATGTTATAAAACAATATTGACAAACACGGCAAAACTATTGTTGATAAAAACTGACAAGAATCAAGGTGATTAATATTGTCAAAAATATTATTGAACTTTTGTCATTGAACAGTTAATGATGGACTACGGGGGAGTGGGAGTGTTGATTGGTTGATTAACTGTTAATCAACTGATTTGACTACTTAATAAGACGTCACAGGTTGTCACCAAGAAAGGTTTATATTTGGTAAATTTCGGGAAAACACTTTAATCTTCTTTAACACCTATAAAATATCTTCCTTGTCGTTTTCCTTCCCCGTCCATATTATCATATTTATTGTATTGGACGTTAATTCTTTAATAAGCAACACCAACAACGTTTTCCTTCCTTCGTGTAATTAAAATGCTGCAAATAAATTAGTTTAAAGATTCGACGCGTCATTTAAATTTTAGCTAACATATCGACTTTCTCACGGCTTAATACACGTTAAATATGCTCTCAGATTGATCATTTAAAATTTAATTAAGACCAAAAATAAAAAAAACTACCAACGCTAGATATTCTCCCGGCTTGGATTTGATCGGATTTAAACTAGGCCCACAAGACTTCTTCCCTATCAATTAAAGATGGCGGTGCCTTGCGACTAGAAATGGTTCCAGTACTGATGTCTTCCGTCTTGCTCCAGCCATAGTAGTGGACCGTCCTAAGACCTTCCTTTGCGCAAGTTTCGTAGTGGACCGTGCTAAGGCCTCCCTTTGAGCAAGTTTTGTAGTGGATGCTTCTAAATATAAGGCCTTCCTTTGGGCAAGTTTTGTATTCATTTGTAGTCATTTCATGTCACTCGAAAATACAGAAAATCGGTTGGGTAAGATAAGATTAAGATTTCGGTGTTCCACTTTTCACTATTTGTAACATAATTACATATTTACATGTAAATAGTGGTAATATTTGTTGAAAATAGTTTATCAAGTTGTAGCCGTGAATAAGAATTATCACGGCTACACGCAATGCGGGTAGCATCAACAGATGACATTTCGATTTATCATAAATTTGTAAATACTAAACGAAAGGGAACCATTTTGGTTCTTATTAGAGATTTTAAAAACCTTCACAATATTGTAGTTTCGGAAGGGATTCCTATAACGATGAATAACGCATCGAGCTTAAAATTTAATTGGGGTTGGATGGCGAAATGGTTAGCGCGTGCGTGCTGCATCATAAGATCTGTCATTGAATCAACTGGCGTAGATCCGATTTCTGGGTATTGGAGTGGGTGAATCGATGGTCACGTGGATATTAAAACTGTTAATATATATACTATATTATGAAACTTTTTCTCAACGGAAGACGAATTACGTTAATCATATTAGCGCCAAAAATATTTGTTTACGTCACAATGTCATCGATTAATTTCTTCGTGTTTAACAACGCGTCCGCGAGAGGACCATGCAAAAATTGAAAAAAAAACCGATAACCCTGGGGGTCAGTAATTTTAATCATTCATGGTCTTTGGGGACTCCTAGGCGACAGAAGTCACACGATGCAGTGAAAAAATTTTTTAAATTACATCTTCCGTTATAACTAGAAATTGTTGTTTTTGGTCAAAATTTGCTATATTTCGACCATTTTTATGCCCAAATTTCAAAACGCTGCTACTCGAAATGCTGTGGCCTGATATTGGTCAGGTATGACAGGCCAAGTGGTCGACTTAAAATCCTGCAGTCGTTGGGTGTGGTTATGAAGGACATTCGTTCAGGTATATGTCAGAATGCTTGACGCGAACAGAACAACGAGTGTGTTTAATTACAACTTCCAAATGATGTTTAATACGAATCATAATTACCAGTACAACAACTGACTTCCACTTTGTAGCCAAATTAAGGTTAAATGGTACGATGGACTTGTATTTGTGTCTAAATGATCAACAATTGACAAAAAAAGTTCACGAAGTTCCAGGTTAAATGGTATATTAAAATGAGTATTTTACCTCGGATAGTATTTATAAATCAAATATTAAAATTTATTTTATAGTTAGCAATAAAATCAGAACTTTCTGAAGTGGGCGTTAAAGCCCAACAAAGCTATCCACGTGACCATCGATTCACCCACTCCAATACCCAGAAATCGGGTCTACAGAGAGAGGGAGAGAGAGAGAGAGAGAGAGAGCATATTTAACGTGTATTAAGCCGTGAGAAAGTCGATATGTTAGCTAAAATTTAAATGACGCGTCGAATCTTTAAACTAATTTATTTGCAGCATTTTAATTACACGAAGGAAGGAAAACGTTGTTGGTGTTGCTTATTAAAGAATTAACGTCCAATACAATAAATATGATAATATGGACAGGGAAGGAAAACGACAAGGAAGATATTTTATAGGTGTTAAAGAAGATAAAGGTGTTTTCCCGAAATTTACCAAATATAAACCTTTCTTGGTGACAACCTGTGATGTCTCATTAAGCAGTCAAATCAGTTGATTAACAGTTAATCAACCAATCAACACTCTCACTACCCCGTAGTCCATCATTAACTGTTCAATGACAAGAGTTCCATGAACGTTTTGATAATATTGATCAGTTTGATTCTTGTCAGTGTTTATCAACAATTGTTTTGCAGTGTTCGTGAATATTATTTGTTTTTGTTTTTGTTTCCAGAAATATAGGCTACTGGTCTCATTGACCAATCATATCAGTTTATCAACAGTTAATCAACCAATCAACACAGTGAACACGTCAGTCACATTTGAACGATGTCAACCAATCAGAAACAGTAAGATATAAATGGAGAAGAAGAAAGACGTTCATTAAACTACAAGATTTCTAGAGACGTTGTATAGAAGTTATTTAGTTCAATATTCAATAGTCAATATGAATAACTTTAGTATTGAATTCCTCACTAGAAACTTGGATTCAACCGAGACCAATGGTAGGCCAACTAATCAAGTAAGCAATTTGACCAAGATATTTCCAGAAGTTTCGTATGACTACAACAGTACCGCCAGTCACCATTCAACGCCATCATCATTATCGATGTCATCCTCTTCATCATCATCATCGACTTCATCATTATCGTCGACCTCATCATCACCATCATCCACTTCATCATCATCGTCGACTCCATCATCACCAGAGTCTTTATCGTCATCAGAGTCATTGTCTTCGTCACAAATCACGTCATCAGAGAAGCCATCACATTCGTACATCGCCTTGATATCGATGTCTATTTTAAATTCACCAGAGAAGAAAGTTCTTCTAGGAGATATATATCAATATATCATGGATAATTTTCCGTATTATAACAACAAAGAGAAGGCGTGGAGAAACAGTATTAGACATAATTTATCTTTAAATGAATGTTTTATTAAAAGTGGAAGAGCTGATAATGGTAAAGGTAATTTTTGGTCCATACATCCAGCTTGTATTGAAGATTTTTCACGTGGAGATTTTCGTCGTCGTCAGGCCAGAAGAAGGGCCAGAACAAATACCATGGCAGAAATGAATTTGAGTGAACTACCTAGGAGTTACCAGTTTAATATTGGATATGTTCCCATGACAACGTCAACATTACCATTTAGCTCTCCTTTCTGTTACCCGCAATCCTACTTTGGCCAAAACTCGATGCCACAAGAACTTGGTTACCAAGCAATGGCCGCATTACCACGTGCAATGGCTACTTCTGTTAATTACAGAATGAGTACTTCCCCCTATCAAAGTTATCAGAGTTATCTTCCCAGTTTGCAGGTGTAAAACTTGTTAGTCACCAAGGATACAGGAGTGTTTATTGTAAATAGTAAATTATTTATAATTGTATATGGATTACTACGTTATATTGTTGTTTTATTTTGTTATATCTTTGTTATTGTTATTAAATATTTCATCTTGTCCACCATTCGTGACGTTTTACTGTGTACTTTAAACTTACTGCCTGTCTATTTTTCATTTAAACAGAGAGAGAGGGAGAGGGGGGCGGGGGAGACGTCCACTTGATTCGGGACTAACATATGCTTCAATTTTATTTCAATAATCCGCTTGCACGTATGGATCCTTAGCAGTTGGAGGAAACCGGAGGACCCGGAGAAAATCCACGAGGTTGGACAGGCAACCCTACTGCTTGTCGCGTGAAAACGGGGAATTGAAATAACGCCACTTAACACAATGACAGACCTTCCGATACAACACACACACGTTAACCACTCGACCACGCAACCCACCTGATTCGTTAAGTATTATGGTGTAACTTAAACATACTTCCAGACGGTCATAGAAATAAATTGAAATGGGGTTTAACGTCCTACGGTTCTGCTCCTACTGGGCTGATGAAGTCAGACATACGTCATACAGTGTGCCACGAGGTGTCCGGACAGCTGCTCTACGTCCTACTCTTATACCAAATTCCACCTTTCCAGGGTTCATGTGCGTGCACGATAATGTGTCCACGGGATCTCTGGTTTTTCGTCCCATTCGTATGACTATAAGTAGTCACTTTCCAGGCACCCCAGTTCTCTACCACTGGCCAGGGGATACCGAATTGAACAATCCCGATAAGCCTTCTCGGCCAACGCAGGGGTCAAATCTTAAATATCAGATAAATTGAAACAAAACATTTTTCGTTTCAGAATGTTTTGTAATTTTTGCTGAAATGTCTTTTTTTTGGATTATACAGGGCGTGTGTTATCCTTTATACTTAACATTAGTTAATGTCTGACAAGGTGTATGCACCTAAAAGATCCCTTGGCAGTTGGAATTCGATATAAGAGTAGGCCACTGTGCCGCTGACCGGGCGAAATTTCCTCATAGCACACTGTATGGCATGTGCCCGTCTTCATTAGCCCAATCGGAGCTGAACAGTAGGACGTTAAACCTCTTTTCATTTCAGTTCATTTCTGTCGAGAAATCTAATGTCGTGTTCACAAGCTTGGAAGAATTCCGTTAAAAATTATAGACAAGATGAGGTTGAAAGGGGAGGGGGGGTAACTCCGGAACGGAAGATAATAGGGCACCGAAAACCGATTTGGGTAGTTCCCAATGTATTACACCAGATGATTGGAATCATCCTTAGTTGAATCATCCTTAGAGGGACAAACTAATACAATATTGATGAAATTGGTATGAATATTGCCTAAATTTCAGTGGCGCCCTAGTCTAAACTACTGGATAAGTATGTTCATTACATAAATGCTTTTCTACATTTGTTCCAGTCTAGTTACTTGTCCCGAACGGAACAGGACAGATGAGTCTCGGAAAGACAAATTTTGACATTTCATATGAAATTTAACCAACAAGTGCTCCACCCTATGGAAGTGTTGGGCGTATGGCTTTTGGTTTTGGAAAACTTAGGCATTTTCACTGTTTTCTCCTTAATCGTTTGATGAATTATAATTCTGCTGATATCTTATTCAGATTTGTTCAAACGACGTCACAATATTGTGGCAGTTTTATATGTTTTAAACATCGATCGTCATTATTCAAGCAATATCTAATTCCCCGGGTTGTACGTAACTAGGAGTAGAGTCGCCTGTTCAACTTCGTTGGGTTTTCTCAAGGTCCCCCCGGTTTCCTTCCACTGCTAAATAAAGTTTAACCATGTGTTAATCCCGAAAATGATCTAGTGTGTGTTGAGTGGACATTACCCCCGCCCCCTCTCTCTGTCTATCGCTCTCTCTCTGTCTCTCACAGTGGACATGAACCCTGATTGATTATTTATAATTTAATTAGGAAAACGATTAGGAAGATATTTTATAGGTGTTAAACAAGATTAAGGTGTTTGCTCGTTACACGGAACGTCATTGTTGAATTAACATGCTGACGTCTTTAATCGCACTGAATCTAAAATATCGCTGTCAGTTTCCGTTTTAGGTTAACAATTGAACACCTGTTTTCCTAAAATATACCAAATATAAACCTTTCTTGATGACAACATGTGACATCTCATTGAGCAGTCAAATCAGTTGATTAACAGTCAATCAACCAATCAACACTCTCACTCTCCCGTGATTGCGGATTCTTCGTTGTCGAAGATCAACTTTAGGAAGGGCCCGCTAGCGGAGGGCGACAGGCCCTCTGTTGGCTGAAAAGCCCTATTTCTAAACTACCTGGTTTTGAGAAGTGTTGGCATGTGTAGTTCCGGGCCGTTGGATCGTGTGTTGTGCCCTCTTTCCCCCGCCTCCTCTTTTCTTCCCTGACTTCTCTTCTGGCTTCCTCGAAGTGTTGAGCACCACTATGTGTGGTTGTTCTCCAGCTGGATCTGTTGACTGCCTGCTGCTCACAGGTGGAGCAGTTGATACCAGCTTTGGTGAACTGCCACTTCAGCTGGTCTTTATACCGTTTCCGAGGAGCTCCCCTGTCTCGCTTACCTTCTGCCAGCGCTCCGTAGAATATTTCCTTTGTGGGAGACATGGCCTGCCCACCGCAGTTGCATGAACATTACAATGGCTTCTATGCTAGAGAGGGTAGCTCTTTCTAAAACTTCCTTGTTGGTGAGGTAGTGCTGCCACGTACGCGAAGTTCATGATGGAAGGAAGACAACGTAAGTGGAACTGTTCCAGTCTTTGCAGCTGTTTGCGATATAGAAACCATATCTCATCTATAAACAGTAATGCTGAGATAACGGCAGCATTGTACACTTGTATCTTGACGGAGAGCCGAAGAGAGTGGTTTTGCCATACTCGTTTGTGAAACCGACCGAAAGCACTGTTAGACTTTACGAGGCGGTTGTCTACATCTTTTGTTGTTTGTTATACAGAACTCATACATCAGCTACAAACAGCAATGTTGACATAACGGCGGCTGTCTGCAATTGTATCTGCACAGAGAGTGTTACCATACTCGGTTGTGAAGCCGACTGAAAGCACTGCTAGCCTTTGCGAGGCGTTTGTCCACATCTTTTGTTGTTGTTGCATCGTTTGAGATGACGCTGCACAGGTAGGTGAACTGCTCTACCGTATTGAGGGAATGGCCATCGATGTCGTCTTCAGACTGATTGCTAGACCGAACGCCTTGGCTGCCTGGGCAAAGCGATTCACAGTGACCTGAAGTGCCTCTTCTGTATGTGCCAATCGTCTACAGTCGTGCACAGTCGTCCACAGTCGTGTGGTACTACTTCTCTAAGCCAGCAAGCAGTGAAGAAGTCCATGAGTTTTTCAGATACTAACAGTCATCCGTTCTTGTATACCCTTGCTGGGATGCCATCGATGTCAGGTGCGTTGTGGCACTTTAGTTTGGATATCGCCAATTTGATTTATTCGTGTGTTGGGGGGCGGTCCAGGTTCATTTTCAATTCCTGCTGGGGAATGTTGTCTATAGATGCCTCTTCGGTGTAGTATGGCTTGTCTATCAATTAGTAGCGTGTTGCCGTCTGATCAATGCAATGGGGCCTGAATCTGTATGGAAGGGCCAATGATTGTGAGCAGACATTCGTAGAAGGCTCCGGTATCTCCTTGGTCAGCATAAAGCTGCGTTCTCCCAGCAAGTGATATCCACCAGAGCCAGTTCCCGTGGTCTCTATAGACCAAATATAAACCTTTCTTGGTGACAACCTGTGACATCTCATTAAGCAGTCAAATCAGTTGATTAACAGTTAATCAACCAATCAACACTCTCACTACCCCGTAGTCCATCGTTAACTGTTCAATGACAAGAGTTCCATGAACGTTTTGATAATATTAATCACCTTGATTCTTGTCAGTGTTTATCAACAATTATTTTGCAGTGTTCGTGAATATTATTTGTTTTTATTTCCAGAAATATAGGCTACTGGTCTCATTGACCAATCATATCAGTTTATCAACAGTTAATCAACCAATCAACACAATGAACACGTCAGTCACATTTGAACGATGTCAACCAATCAGAAACAGTAAGATATAAATGGAGAAGAAAAGAGACATTCATTAAACTACAAGATTTCTAGAGACGTTGTATAGAAGTTATTTAGTTGTATTTGTTCAATATTCAATAGTCAATATGAATAACTTTAGTATTGAATTCCTCACTAGAAACTTGGATTCAACCGAGACCAATGGTGGGCCAACTAATCAAGTAAGCAATATGACCAAGATATTTCCAGAAGTTTCGTATGACTACAGCAGTACCGCCAGTCACCATTCAACGCCATCATCATTATCGATGTCATCCTCTTCATCATCATCATCGACTTCATCATTATCGTCGACCTCATCATCACCATCATCCACTTCATCATCATCGTCGACTCCATCATCACCAGAGTCTTTATCGTCATCAGAGTCATTGTCTCCGTCACAAATCACGTCATCAGAGAAGCCATCACATTCGTACATCGCCCTGATATCGATGTCCATTTTAAATTCACCAGAGAAGAAAGTTCTTCTAGGAGATATATATCAATATATCATGGATAATTTTCCTTATTATAACAACAAAGAGAAGGCGTGGAGAAACAGTATTAGACATAATTTATCTTTAAATGAATGTTTTATTAAAAGCGGAAGAGCTGATAATGGTAAAGGCAATTATTGGTCCATACATCCAGCTTGTATTGAAGATTTTTCACGTGGAGATTTTCGTCGTCGTCAGGCCAGAAGAAGGGCCAGAAAAAATACCATGGCAGAAATGAA